ATAACCTTCGCAATAAAAATACTTGAATGGACCTAACACTCCAAAAATATCATTTGGTGTACTAGACCGATTAGAAAATGTTTATTGTAAAGATTATCCGGTTTATGTGTATACGGTTTTTGGATCCAGTTATTTTTCCCCAGTAATAATAATAATAAAAAATATGAATGCCCTAGCGCGCCGTGGCTGTTTGTAGGTGTTATGCGCGACACAAAGCGCTGATCCGCGACCGTCGTCCAGCTTCCGCGGGAAGAAGTGGTGCGTCGATGGGATGGGAAATGTGCGGTTGAAACAACTTTCCCGTATCGCGTTGCATTTTCTTCTGCAACTGTCAAGCCTTCCGGTCCAGTAAAGCTCTGTTGGTGTCGGTATTTGCGAGATGAATGCGTACCGGTGTGACCATAGGAAATATCACTGCAATATTTCTGGGATTTACTGGAGTTTGATAAAGTAAATGCGGTTAGATTTGTTGCGTAATTTGTTTTTTCGTTTTCTGTTGACGATCTTTTCGGCAGTTTTTTATCCTGTTTTAACCATAACAGGCTAATTAACTTTGGCAGGTCGCTGTTTCTTCACTAATCCATAGCGCTTCGTAGTCGTTGTAGTGGCATTAGTGCCGCATTATTGAATGTATAAACAACGAAGCATGCGTTTTGCAAGTTATCACTTATTAGCTGATAATATCACACTAAACGACCACCCATTCAGTACGCTGAGAGAGTACGTAGTAATGAATGGACTGCGTTATTCCGTCTCTCGCTCAGTGGATAGTAAGACGCCATCCGGCCTGAAAAAATCTTGGGAATTGCATTTAGGCATATCTCGTTGTCTACTGTTTATAGCGAAGCACGCGAATACCATCCACACTGAGGCGTCGCCAGATTTCAAGCGACATGGTAGAACAATTTAAAATAATTTATTAAAATATTATAAGGTTTGAACGGAAGTACGTACGTTAAGTTCCGACGATGTACGTACGTTTTTATATCCGCCGTTAGCGCGATGCGCTGTTCAGTTGGACAGACACTGAGTTGCGCTTTTAATTTCGCTTTTAATTTCGCTTTGCTTTCGCCAGTTGCGCTTTTAATTTCGCTTAGTGCTTATTAAGCATTGTTGAGCTTTTTATGGATTAAGAAGCAGGATTTCAGCGTTCCCGGTAGACAGAGGTTTTCTTCGTACAAAAACGGCTGCATACAGTACCGTGTGCCACTAGGGCGGGCCGCACGCTGGTGATTGAACAATTTCCCGGGCCCTCCCAATTTTTGTGCGACCGGCTTGTAGCTGCAGATTAGTTTGCGGCTTTGCGCACAGCTTACAGTCGAAGAAGCAAAGCCATCAAATAGGACTCGCACCTGCGACGTTGTTTTATTATTCACTTTGCATTCTTTGCAAGAAAGAATTTTGCGGATTACACATTGTAGTTAGTATTGAGGTATACTGTTGGCAGTAAAACCCCTTCGACATCGATTACAAATTTACGCGCTTATCAGGTGTCGAAACCATAACGTGTTTTTGCCATGATGGGTCCTAAACCGAAGAAGTTGAAACCGTCGGATCAAGCAGACTCGAAATCCGTTAGGATCCAGCTGCGCATCGGCAGTTCCGAAGTGTCCGTGGACAAAGCTGCTCTGGCGGCCGAATCAGCATACTTCGCCACCTTGTTCGCCGGGAATTTCAAGGAGAGCGCCTCGACCGCCATCCAACTCCAGCAACCGGCCAACGTCTGCCTGGAAACGCTCGTCCAATTGGTGGAGAAAGGCCGGGAACTGTCTATTGAACGGAAAGACGCCGTTAAAGTGTGGATGGCCGCCAAATATCTGCAAATGGAGAAAGTGGAGAAAAGGGCTGGCGATATCTTGGATAAGCAGATGGAACGACCGAAGCATGCCTACCGCTTGTGGCGATTGGCCCGTCGCAAGGGCATGCCGGATCTGGAGACATTGACCTTTGGAGTGATTTTCAAGAAGTTTCTGAGCGGTGCCAAATTTTCCCAGTTTTCAAAAGCTTGCCAGGCGGAGTTCCTCAAGTGCTCGGTGGACGAGGTCACCGCTCTGCTGTCCCATGCAGATTTCGTTCCACAATCCGAAGCCATGGTGTATCAGGTTAGTACGGCAATTGAGACTCTTAACTTTTAGTTCAGATTGGTTTTGGAAACAGTGAGAACAGCAGTTTGTGCGTTTTGCTATAGTTTCATGTGGTGAAGGTAAAAAGGGAATTAAAGCTTGAAAAACAATGGTAAATTCAGTACATGTTCCGGTATAATCTCGAGTGTTGACCTGTGTAATTCCGGCGTGTAATTTCCTGTGTAATTTCTGTAATGTAAACCTCGTATTCCGGTGTAATCTCGAATCTGGTATGTTAACCTGTGCGCTCTGTAGATGATAATGTGGTGGTGCGCGCATGATGCCACGGAGCGAATGCAGCATGTGTATCGTCTTCTGAGCGGCAGCGTTGCGTGGGATGATCTGGATCTAAATCTGCTGATCGCCACCGCGAGCGGACAACTACTTGAAGCACTGAAACAGATTGCGGAAGAGCGCCAAATGGGTTGTGGAGCGTTGTTGAAGCGTGCAGCGAAGAAAGAGGCCATCTTCTACCACATGCGCAAAGGTCATCCGCACCAGCTTCTCCGCTTCGACTTCATCCGCAACGAACTGACCAAGCTGGACACGCCGGTGCAAGCGAAGCTGGCTGAGTGTTGGCCCCGGGTTAAAGCCGATGGATTCGCGGTAGCCGTGGGCCGGGAACTGATCCTGCCTGTCCAGACGGATGGGAAGTATGACGATGTGATTGCGATGGACTGCATCAGTGGCGCCACCCGCTCTATCATGGGGATACGCCCTTCAGCGAGGAATGCATGTGTGTCGTTGCGGCGGGCGCGGAGCTGTTCGGCGCTTCTGGTGGTAGTCGTTACTCCGTGAACTGGCACTGTTTCGATCTGGCCACGGGAAAAGTGCGTCGGGCGTCTAAGATGGCGCTGCATACGGTTAGTGGCAAAGGTGGTGGATACAAGTTGAAATACGACCGGTAAGTCTCGTTTAAATGCTTGTCTTTGATGGATTTTCTGGAAAATACATAATAAATTCGCGCATTTGTAGATCATCCATGGAAGGAGTCTCGATTGGCCGCGATACGATCGTCTTTTCGTCGGTGGGGTCCGTTAACGCAAAGCACGATTACAATCCGGAATGCAAGGTGGAGTTGTACGATGTTCGCAGCAACCAGTGGACGGAGCATACCAGTTGGACGAATGAAAAACGATTTCATCATCGTTGTGGGACGATTGTCCTGGACGGGTATCTGTACTTGACGGGCGGATGCGTGGATGCTGAAGGGTTTTCATTCTACTGGAAGAAGAGTAGCCGGGTGACGTCAGCATGCTTCCGTGTCTCACTGAGTGAAGACAGAATGTACCGTCCCCAACCGGAAGCCATCGCGAATCTGAACGTGGCACGCTATCAGCATTGCGCCTTCATCAAGGACGGACAGATTTGGGTGTACGGCGGAACGACCCATGTGGGCGGGGATAATAAGCGCACGCGGGCGCTGATGTCCTTCGAAAGATACGATGTCAAAGGGAATGAGTGGACCCTGGTGGATGTGCCGATGTCGAAGGAACTGCAAGCGGAACTGGCTGGTGGTGATTATGCGCAGAAAACATTCTGTCTGCCGCTGCAGCATCGCCTTCCGCCGGAGTGCTTGATTAGCGACATTGAAGGGTATTATGATGAAAATCAAAGTGACGATGAATCTGGAACCGCTGAGGATAACTCTGGAGCAGGTGAAGATGACTCGGAAATGGAGGATGACAGTGATAGCGCCGAATGACCAACCCGCGCTTTGCTGTGCATTACGAGTATTAGTGTGTTTTTTTTTCAGTGTTTTTTATCAGTTGTCACTTGTCAGTGCCGAATATTCTGCTGTATTTTCAACCATTTTTTGCATGTTTCGTGCATATATTTCTGTAATTTTCGTATATTGATTATTTTGCCATGGATATAAATTGCATTTTAAATCAAGAAGGGTAGCCGTAGCGAATTGGGCGAAGTACGTACGAGTAGATATAGCCATCATAGTGGTAATTATAACTTGTCCATAAGGGCATCAGTTATTTCACTTACCCTTAAACAAATTACCCAACACTCAACAGAATCTGTACATGTTGTACAGTACTTTCACAATAATTTTTTTCAGTTTTGTAACAAAATTAGTATGATGTTGTAATAATAATGCAATTACTGCATCTGCACAGAGTTTTGTGGAAATGCGCTGGAAGTCTGGAACACTGAACCGAAAATACAAAATAACGAGGTTGACGCCGACCTGTTGAGGTGGTTACTTGGACTAACCATTTCAAATGCCTCCCACCACGGTGCGACAGTTATGCTACAGAAAACGCATCCAGCACTGAAGCCGTACTGAAAACAGAAAAATCAGAACAATTTACAAAATCAGCTTGGTCCATTTCTGTGAAACCGAAAAACGTAAATGTCTTTTTGACTATAGCCTAATCAGTTCTGTTAACGGAAAATCTTTGTCTTGAACTAGGAAATTCAAGTACTCATTTCATCAACCATGCCGATTCAAGTCTATCAGAGCAACAGTGTGGATGTTCTGGGCGATGACGGCCTGCTGCGTTACGGGCGCGTCGTGGATATCGCTGACGATGGGCTGTTCATCGACTTTCTGTGTCCCACCCGAACACGAGAGCACACTCCGTTTAGCAGTGTCTACCTCCCTACTTCCTTAGAGCCTCTCCATATGCGCGAAATCGACCGGCCTCGTACTGTTCCAACCGCGCCGATCCCCGTGGAAGTGCTGATACGTGAAACTCCCTTCGATTCATGGATGTGGGTACCAGCTAAAATGGAAAGCCTAGTGAGCTACGAAGCACCTGCTTTGTATGGTATGGCGCTGGTCCGTTGGTGGAATAAAATGCAGTTCGAGGATATTGTTCCCCTGGAGCGCATTCGCTGGAGGATCCCGGGCCCCGGGGGATGGTGGGGCGCCTTAGGGATGCCTGCTCCCTCGCAGTTTGCATTGACTCTTCTTGACTGTGGTGAGGGGATTGTTGAGGGTGCCGTATTTGCTCAACCCGATGCCGTGATCAAAGGAAAGTTTTCCAAGTGGAGCATGGCGTTGCCGAAAGAATTGGCTGTTAATGGATACATCCTCCAGCGCTATAACTGGGAACTGTGGATGCGCGAGCCTTTCTGCTGTGTGAATTTTGCGGATGGACGCTTGCAGTGTATTGAACGTCGAACAGCAGCCGAGAAAGCCGAAGCAGTATCGGAAAAGGAGGCGCGTTATTCGAATTTGGAGGGGGCTACGGTGAGACATTATTATTGAGACTGACTGATCACGTTTTATTTAGCTAATGGATTAGCCTTTGCAGGACAGTTTTGACGGGGTACTGGGACTAATGTGTTCTTTTTATCCTAATAAATGTCTGCTGTATGTTTCAACGCAAGACGAAGCTCCAGTGGACGAAATCGATGCACTAACTGTGGAAGTGTGGCAGGAAGTGTTTTCCCATCTGGAGACTTGGGACCAGAACAGACTCCGCACAGTGTGCTTTGCATGGAACGCCATCCTTGAGTCATCTGTCATAACTGCCCAGCTAGTGCTGAAGACGACTGGATATAGCGGTACGTTTGAAACCTCGCGCACACTTGTCCCCTGCATGATGTCGACGATCTTCAACTGTCTGCGTGCATCCACAAAGCACATTATTCTGAGCGATCCGGAGCGTATTCTGTATGTGGAAGATCTTTTACAACTTTTGGATGTGATTAACTACACTGGAAAGCGCAACACTGAAGTCAGTGTTTTAGCGATCTGGTTGGTTGGTTGCCGGTGTAAGTTTTCCCTTGGCATGATTTCGTACGCCGACGAGTGTGTTGTGCATCATTCTGACCACTCCGTGAACCAGTTCCACGGCCGGTGTGGCAATTTCTTCAACGATTTCATCGTGACGTGTGGTTCTCTGCCGTGTGATAGAATGCGCTTGGTCCGCTGTGCAGTGCAACTCTCCATTCCGGAATGCAACGGCAGGTACGATGTCGACTTGGTACCTGCTGAATCGCAGCTCGTGCTGACGGCTTGGCTGCCATTGGGCGATGAATTCAAATGTGCCTTGTGGAATGCGCTGGATATGAGTTTGCCAGTGATGGACCAGCAGCATTTGGCAAAGATGAAGAAAAAACTGGAGACGGTTCCGGATTTTGACTGGTTGTGTTTTGATCTTGTGACGATGTGCCGGGTAAATCTTGGAAATTTCACATTCCGTATTATCGTTTCCGTATTATCATTTCTTTTCCGTATTATCGTTCCCAAGGCCACTTGGATAAATTTGACACGCAAAGGTTGCGTAGTACTAATTCGACGTTTTTCGCAGTCCGGACATTTTTAACAATAAAGATTCACCATTGCGTAACTTACTCTGTACGCCAGAAACCAGGTATTCTCTGCGTTGTTCCACATATTAGAAAATTCAGTTAATTTTTATTGATTCGTCTACAAGTTCATCAACACGCAGTTATTTTTGAAAAGTTTCTTGCATGAAAAACGCGGGGAATACCTGGTCTCTGGTGTGTGGTACGCGAATCTGTGTTGTTTGAATGCCCGAAATGCGATAAATCTCGTAGTTTCTGTTCTAGAGCATGTTCTCGTATTCGACAATTTGTAGTATATTTTCTGTGCGCGATTCATACGAAGTATTTTAAATTAGGTACTTTGTGGTGTCCCATGGATGCGGCGTTACCGTCTTTTTTGTAGGTCTTATGTGCAACGCAGACAGCTGATCCGCGACCGTCGTCCAGTTTTCGCGGGAAGAAATGGTGTGCTTATTGGTGGCAAGACATACAGTTGGAACAACTGAACCGAATTGCACTGCATTTCCTTACCCAGCTGATTTTTCCGCAGTGATTACGGAAAGTCTTAATCGTTGAGTGTGATTACAAAAAGTGCAATTAGGAGTTTTTTTTTATAATGAACAGTAGTGGCAATAGTGTTTTGCAGTGAAATGCAGTTGGGATTAGCGTTCGTCTAACAAAACTACTTGAATCTGATGCGCAAAATTTCAGGGTTCTCGGTAGACAAAGGTTTTTCATCGTACTAAACGGCGACATACAGTACCGTGTACCACGAGGGCGGGCTGCACGCTTGGTAGCGAAATACGATTATAATCCGGTATGCAAGGTAGAGTTGTACGACGTTCGCAGCAACACATGGACGGAGCGTACCAGTTAAAAAGATATTCCATCACCGCTGTGGCACGATTGTCTTGGACTGGTACTCGTACCTATACTTCACGTTCACGGGCGGCTGCGTAGATGCCGGAGGGTTTTCGTTCTACTAACAGAGCAGTAGTCAGGCGACGTCAGCATGCTTCCCTGTCTCACTGAGTGATTACCATCCCCAATCGGAATCCATCGCGAATCTTAACATCCCACGTTATTAGCACTGCGTCTTTATCAAGGACGGACAGATTTGGGTGTACGGCGGGACGACCCATGTGGGCGGGAACAATAAGCGCACGCGGGCGCTGACGTCCTTTGGAAGATACGATGCCAAAAGGGATGAGTGGACCCTGGTGGATGTGCCGGTGTGTGACAAAGGAACTGCAAGCGGAACGGGCTGGTGGTGATTATGCGCAGAAGACCTTCTGTTTGTCGCTGCAGCATCGCCTTCCGCCGGAGTGCTTGGTTAGCGACATTGAAGGCTATTACGAAGAAGATCAACGTAACGATCATTCCGGAACCGATGAGGGTAACTCGGGAACCGACGAAGATGAGTCGGAAATGGAGGGTGTCAGTGAGATTGACGAATAGCCAACCGGCAGGGATCACGAACACGTTTAGCTGCGAATTAGTGCTGCGTTGGATACTTGTTTGTCATAAATAATTATCAGTGTTAAATAAGCTGCGTTTTTCTTTAACCCAGGGCCCTGGTCTGCACTTTCCTTGTGTACACCTTTTTGAATTTTTTGAGTTTATTTTTGTCTAGAATGTGATTTGCTCAGATAAAGGTTCTCGTATCCGCCGTGTCGGCCGATAATAAGCATATTCTCAGCGAGGATCTTACGCATTGATACGACAGGCCAAGCTTCTAGGGCAAGTCTGCTTGAGCGATTGATCGAGTAACAACGGTTACGCCCTCGAAAAGTTCCGCTTAAAGGTCAATTCTAAATACAGCACATCGATATTCGGTTCAGACGTACGTGTTTTCATTCGCATTTAATGCGCGATATCTCAGTGCACGTTAAGTATATTTTTAACAAGTTCTTTACATACTACTTATGCAATTTCTTAGTTGCTTCGTTCACAACTGCGCTTCACGCTAAAGTGTACTTTTAAGTTTTGACGAGTTAAAAGACAGGATTTGAGAGCTCTCGGAAGACAGAAAGTAATTTTCCTTCTTAACAAAACAGCTGCTGTGGCAGCTGTTTATCACGAGGGCGAGTTGCACGCTGGCGATTGGTCCATTTCCACAGCGCAGAGTCTACTACCATAGGAAGCTGACCGGCCGGCAAATCCGTTCACGCACTGCTTTCACTTTCAGCCAAAGAGTCACAGTCGCTAAGTTGCTTTATTATTCACGGCACCTCCTTGCACAAAAGCAGTGGGCAGCTGGGAGTTTTTGTTAGTATAAACGTAGTGCGGTTAATACAAGTCGATTACAGGCTTGTCGAAACCTTACCAAACCCGGGTTCGTACTGACATTATGACCTCCTGATCTATCATGCCGATTCAAGTGTACCAGAGCAACAGTGTGACTGTTTTGGGCGATGACGAGATGCTTCGTTACGGGAGAGTGGTGGATGTCGCTGACGACGGGCTCTTCATCGACTTTGTATGCCCCACCCGAAGACGAGAACTCACTCCTTTTGGTAGAGTCTTCCTCCCCACTACCACACATCCTCTGCACATGCGTTACTGCGAGCAGCCTCGTACTTTCCCAAGCGCGCCGATCCCCGTGGAAGTGCTGATACGCGAAACTCCCTCTGATTCATGGATGTGGGTCCCGGGTAAAATGGAGAGTCTGGTGGACTATGATGTACCCATTATGTATGGTGTGGCGCTTGTCCACTGGTGGAATAAAAGGGAGTGCCAGGACATTGTTCCCGTGGAACGCATTCGCTGCAGGATTCCGGGCCCAGGGGGATGGTGGGGTGCTGTTAGTCGGGCTGTTCCTGCGCAGCTTACATCCCACCACTTTGACGCGCTGCTGGGGAATGTGAAGAGCGCTATCCTTAGCCAGCCTGAGGCCGTGACCAAGGGAATGTTTTCGAAGTGGAGCGTGGCATTGCCAGAAGACTGCGGTAGTTCTATTAACGGATACTTCCTGCAGCGCTTGAACACAGAGCTGAGGATACGAGATCAGCCGTTCTGCTGTGTGGGCGTTGCGGATGGGCGATTGTGGTGCATTCAACGTCGATCATCAGCGAAGAACACAGCGGCAGTATCGGAGACTGAGTTCTGTTATGACGATGTAGAGGATTATAAGGTAGGCAGTGACACTGACAATTGCACCGCTTTCTGTGCAAACCGGTTTGTCTTTGCAGGGGAGTTTTGACCGGGTACGACATTCTTGGGAATTCTGTGCTCGTACGAGTACATATCCAGGTAAATGTCTGCTGAATGCATCAACGCAAAACGATGGTCCAGTGCACGAAGTCGATGCGATGCCGGTGGAAATGTGGCTGGAAGCGTTTTCCCATCTGAACACATGGGACCAGAACAGACTCCGCACGGTGTGCTTTGCATGGAACTCTATGTTGAATTCGCCGTTCTTGACTGCTGACCTGGTACTGAGTACGACTGGGTCACTGGGTATAGCGGTACGCTACAAACCTCGAGCACACTTCTTCCTTGCATGATGTCGACGGTCTTCAATTGCCTTTGCGCAATCACCAAACGCATTATTCTGACCGGACACTATCTGCTGTATGTGCCAGAATTCAAGCGCATCTTGGATGTGATCAGCTACGTTGGAGAGTACAACACCGGCATCCATTTTTCAGCGATCTATCTGGTGGATTTACGGTGCATTTTTTCACTGGGCAAAATTTCTGGTGCCGGTGACTGCATTTCGCATCATCCTGACGCATACATACAAGCGAACGTGGATCGGTTCCGTGGCTGGAAAGGAAATCGCTTCGACGCCTTCATCGAAACATGCGGCTCTCTTCCGTGCGATAAGATGCGGCTGGTCCGATGTCCGCTGCAACTCTGCATCCTCGACTACCAGCGCCTAGCCCAAGAGGTGGATCTGGTCCCGAGCATCTCGGCGCCTGTGCTGACGTGCTGGCTGAATATGGGGATGATTTCGAATGTGCAATGTGGAATGCGTTGGATGGGAGTCTGCCAGTGCCGGACGAGCACAATTTGACAAAACTGTACAACTTTCTGGAGACCGCCCCGGATTACGACCACTTCCAGACCGATATCAGTACACTTTGCCGGGTAAATCCAAAGTAATGCATTCTTTATTTTCTTCGTTTTAAAACAATCTTTTCTGTAGTTCTGTAGTCCCTCATACTTGCTCCCTTCACTGACTACACAGCCTCCAGTTATGTTTTGTTGCGAGTAGTAGTCAGTACGGATGGTTTAGCAGCGAAAACGCTGGGTCCGCAGTATACAGAGACTACAGACTTCCATGAACGTGACAGTCGACAATTATTGTCTTGTTTGCAGGTCTTATGTGCGACGCAGACAGCTGACCCGCGACCATCCTCCAACTTCCGCGGAAAAAAGTGGTGCACTGATGGCTTGAAATGTGCACAACTGGAAAATTTGTCACGAATTTCGCTGCACTTTCTTATTCAGCTGGTTCGCTGAAGTTTGCTACCGGATGTCGGTATTTATTATCCAGCCCGGTTTTCTTCCTTTGATATGCACCGGGATTAGCAAAATCATTTTGGGATTTGACAAAAAATTTTGTACCGTGTTAGGCTTTTGTGCCAAGCTTTCTCGTTTGTTTAAAACCTTTTAGGTTGTGACCGGCACAATATGAGGGATGAATGCACTTTGAGAAGTTTTACTAGATAACCAGGTTGTTCTGACTGTTAATGCGATTGG